CTGGCCCAGCGCTGGAGGTGAACAGTGGGGCGGTGTCAGCACCCCAAAGTGTGTCAGGGCGCTGGGCCTGGCCACCTCACCCTGAGTGCCTGTGGGAGGAGGTGAGAAGGTGCAAAGTGGGGTGCCCAGGGCTCCCGCTGCCCTGAGCCTCTCACCTGCTTCCACGTCGGCAGGATTGAAGCCGTCGATCAGGATGTTGGGGGCCGCCCACTCCGTGCTGATCATGACGTTGTGGCGAGGCTGGTACCAGAAGTCGTAGCCCATGGGCGCCGCGCCCCCGGGCTTCTCCCAGGTGCCCTTCACCTCGAAGGTCTCCCCGTCCAGCAGCACAAAACCCCCTGGGCAGGAGGAGCCGGGTGGGTCGCAGGCAGGGGCGGTGGAGTGCGTGCTCTGTGGGTGCGCCCCTGTCCCCCAGCCCTCGCCAAGAGCTCCCTGGGGCCCCCCGGGCTCCTCCCAGAATCCACGCTCCTTCTGCTGGCCAGCATTTCCCGCAGGCAGATGAGCCGTTCTAGGGACAGTTGAGCACGACCGTCCAGCGTGTTCTCCACCGCCGGTGCGTTCTGGAGGCTGGCCAGTGCCGCGTTTCCTGGGCAGGGCTGGGGGCGGCTGGGGCAGGGCTGGGGGTGCTGTGCCCCACCCGCAGACAGTGCTCTGGTGATGGCTTTCAAGGGGAGTCAGGCCTGAAGGCTGCGCCTCACGGGATTCATTGAACAGCCGAGGTTCTTGGCTGTAGGTTCCAGCGGCCTGAGACTGCGCCGCGGGTTCCGTCTGGAGGGTCACTGCGCTGCTCCCCAGCGCGGAAGCAGCCCCCCTCCGCGGCAGCTAAGGGCGGGTACCTTTGCTGTTGCCTTGGGGGTCTCCCAGGGCGCTGATCATCACCTCCCCGCTGGCCAGGCAGTGGCTGGTGTGCAGGTAGCCCAGGCCACACTTGGCATGCACTTCCTGGGGCTCGATGACCTGAGAGCAGGGGCGGGTCAGGGCCCAGCCGCGGGCCCCCAGGCCCGGCCCCCCCCAACGCGGCCGCCCCGGCCTGGCTGTGGGGAGCCCGCCCAGCCGCGGGCCCCCAGGGAGCGCCAGCGCTTCGTCCTCTCCGGCAGCCCCACCAGCCGCCTGGTCTGAAGGGGGGACGGGGCCGGGAAAAGGGGGCCCACTTCCAGGGCCCCCCTGCGAGGCAGAAAGCAGACGGGGAGCTTGGACCCGACATCTGAGCAGCCCCCAA